GGCGGTGGTAGATAACTTGTGATAAAAATGATTTATTAGGGAAATTTAAAAACAAATCCTTACTTCTTGTCGGAAGTTAAAGGAAGGGAATAAGGTCAGAATTAAAAATATACTCCTGGGTATGTCTAGATTAACGAATTAAACGTCAGATCTACGCTAAAATATAAAAATAAGGCAGCGATACTATAGAATATTACAGCAACAAATGTATTAAGGATGTATCCAAGTATGATTTGATGATTTGTTGAAGTAGACATAAAGTTATCAGAAACATTTTTTTTTAAATTTTTAATATACCCAGGAAGCTTCTTAAAGGGCCAATAGGTAAAATTAAAAATCTGGAAATATCTATATATATGTTGCTAATTATACTGAATATACAGTAATACATGACAATATTAAAGTTGAATAAATCAAATAAATGTTGGGTGGACCATTATATACTAATATATACTAATAAAATAATGGCTATCCACTTGTAATACGTAATTATTTATGAAAATTTTTACAGCTATAGTTAATTGTGCTTGATATCAGGGATAGAGCATACGTAAATAGAAAAATGGACACTGAGGTCAACACCAACTGGCGATACTCAGATGATTGAACGTAATATTCAAGCTATATATATATATATATATATATATATATATATATATATATATATATATTCATGAAACAGACATTCGTCGCTGAGTGTTGATTTCAGGGTTTACTTTATAGTTACACACGCTATATCCCTGATATTGGGTATTTTAGCTTATAAAATATACATTAAAATTATATTTTTATTATATATTTTTGTATTTTCCTTTTATATATATATATATATATATATATATATATATATATATATATATGGGCGTCTCCTATTGTCTTATTCTCCTAGACTATTTGCCAATCAAACCAGTCATCTCTTAGACTATTTGACAACCAACCCAGTCTTCTCTTAGACTATTTGCCAACCATCAGTCTTTTCTTAAACTAGTTTCCAAACAACCTTCTTCATCTGGACTAGTTGCCAACAAACCAAGTCTTTATTTACCAGCCAAAGAAGTATTCTCCTAGAATAGTTGCCAATCAACCCAGTCCTCTCTTCAACAAGTTGACAACCAACAGACTCTTGGCTTAGTCTATTTGGCAAGCAACCGAGACTTCTCTTAGACTATTTGCAACCAACCCAGTTTTCTCGTAGACTATTTCGCAACCAATCCAGTCTTCTCTTAGAGTAGATGGCAGCCAACCCAGACTTCTTTTAGACTAGTTGCCAGCCAACACGTTTTTCTCATTCACTATTTGACAACCAACCCAATCATCTCTTACACACTATTTGCCAGACATCCGCTTATTCTCCTAGACGAATTGCAATGAAACTAGTCATCTCTTAGACTAGTTGACAACCAACCTATTCTTCTGATACTATTTGCCAACCAACCCAGCTTTCTCTTAGACTATTTGCCAATCTACTCAGTTTTCTCTTAGACTAGTTACCAGCCAACTCAGACTTCTCTTAGATATTTGCCAGACAAAACAGTCTTCTTCTAGACTTGTTGCCAAACAATTCGGTCTTTACCGAGACTAGTTGACAACCAACATAGTTTTTATTTACCAGCCAACCCATTACTCTCCTAGACTAGTTGCCAACCAACCCAATCGTCTCTTAGACTAGCTGACAACCAACAGTCTTCTCTTATACTATTTGCCAACTAACCGATTCTTCTCTTAGACAATTTGCAACCAAACCTGTCTTTTCTCAGACTAGTTGCCAACCAACCTAGATTTCTCTTAGACTAGTTGCTAAACAACCCAAACTACACTTAGACTAGTTGCCAACCAACCCAGTCTTCTCTTAGAATAATTATCAACCAAAACACAATCTTTTCTTAGACTAATTGCTAACCAACACAGTCTTCTCTGAGACTAGGTGCCAAACAACTGAGTTTTCACCAAGACTATTTGCCAACAAACCCAGTCTTTTAGTCGACAGCCAACCCATTATTCTCATAGAGTAGTTGCCATCCAAACAAGTCGTCTCTTAGGCTAGTTGACAACCAACCCAGTAACCAACCCAATCTTCTCTTAGACTATTTGCAGCCAACCCAGTCTTCTCTTAGACTAGTTGCCAACTCACTCAGTATTCTTTTAGACTAGTTGGGAATCATCCCAGTCTTCTGCTTTACTTGTTGAACAAACAACCCATTCTTCTCCTCCTCCCTGCTTTGGGTAAATGAAAGAAAGATAGGAGATGAAGGAAAAAAAAGGAAAGGAAACAATACAATAAAGAGAAAGGCAGACAGAGGTAGATTCAAACCTTTCCCAAGGGCATTCGCACTTATATGAATGTAATGAGCATGATTTGAATTCGAACTCCAATCTCCGATTTCTCATCCCAAGCCGCTAGCTCTTATACCCAAAATCTATACTTGTCTGTTAAATGACAAAAAGAAGTCTATACAGTTATCATTGAATCAATTATCTACTTCTTTCAAAGCGAGAAGCG